AGATGTGTCGACCCATCTAGGCAGCCGTTTCTCGAGTTGACACGTTTTAGGATAGTGGCTAGACGATCTTACTTCAGCTTCACAAGAGTTCACAAGTTTTACCAGAGTGAGATTTGTAAACCGGAACTAGGGAAGCAATGATAATACAAAATGCCGTCGACAAACAGCGCCGAGGTAATGTAGTAGAACAGGTGACGCTACTCATCAAGGTTAGGAAACGAATCTGAATCGGACACTGCCACACAACCCTTCGGTGGGAGTAGGTGAATTAGTTGGCAAATTTGGTACCATAAAATAAAAAGATAAAAGTTTTCGCCATTGATCACTCCCTTCTTCTTGGGATGCAGTACGCATTCTGCTTCCATTCAGACTAGCGATGGCTTATTCAGTGTCATCTAGCCTGGTTCCATGATCAACGGGTCTAGCCGATATACAAATCGGTAACATCCTCCCAGACGAATCTGGTGCCAGTTTACCGTCGCTTGGGAGCAGAAGGCTCGGTTGGCCTGGCGCGAGCAGATGGGGCTTAGACCCCGGACCGCGCGCGTGGTAACCGTACCACTTACCACTGGACCTCTATTAGGTGGCTTATTTAGATAAAAACTTTTGGCACTATTCACCTTTCACTGACCCAATCGTCCTACCCAACAGCCTCGCAATTTACTATTTGGTCCTATGCTTTTCTGAGTAGGATCAAGACGAGTTTCAAGTCAGACCGCAGGCTTGAAAAATAGCCAAGCTGAGGTGGGCTCATGGGCTCAAGACACCTGTTATAATTCAAAGTCGCAGTGGTTCCCATTCAATTCCCGAACTTTTTGGCGCAGACAGCCTGTGAGAGCGTTGAATTCGCTCGTTGTGACATTTCCGCCTTCCAATAAAGTTACCATACATCAAAGAGGTTCAGCCACTTGAGCTTGTCACCCCTTGGAGACAAACCGCTCGATCGTATGTTGTCGATAGTAGCGCCCTGTTACAAATCTATATAGTCGCTTAATGACTCTCCAGGACAGAACGAATCAAAAAAATCATGTAGTGCACCCTAAATGAGGACATGGCTGTCTCTCTAGATGACATCTTTCGACCTGCTCGTTTTATGTCAACGGAGCGATATCCTGCGGTTGCTTGAGCGCGGGTATTGTTTCTAGGGCCTACTACTCGAATCCCAGCGTTGCGCGAGGAGTCCTTTCGAATGCTCCTACCTCGACGAGTTTTGCATGAACTTAGGCGGCTGACCCAGAATTTGTTTAAAGGGTTTCATCGATATCACTCCTGTAGAGACTTCTTATAGAAACTTTGACTGGACCCAGCTTTGTTCTTTCAGTCAAGCGTTTGTTCTTTGGTCAGTTCTCTCAATTTAGTTCATTAGATGAGATCTACAAAGCTTTTCGCTGATCAGGAATGCGCAGGAAACAATACTGCAATCCGAGGATGCTCTAGGAATCTTTCAGCCGTTTTACTAGTATTCACTTATTGACTTGCTATTTGAAAATCGCTGGAAAGGACATCGCTCTCATTTCAATCCCATGAATTTCTCGGTTCTCGTGCTTTTTCATCTTCAAGACCCTCAACTGACCTACCATTTTGGTCTAGTAATAGGGATTTAAGCGGATTTTCCATTGCTCATGAAAATCGCTACACATGTGGATAACATAAAAACCGTGAGGCTCACTGGTTTCAGGCAAAGGGAAAAGCAGAGTAGTTGTCTCAGAGTGACTCTCGTCCAAACAAACTAAGGGCCAGTTCGGCGACGGGGGACATTTTTGCACTTTCAC